TGGTCAGTTTCTCCTGAGTAACAGCAGCTTCACTGTTAGATAGTGAGGATTCTGTCAGTTATATACAGGAAACAGATGGTAATTTGAATGCAATGCAAATTATCATGGAAGCTTTAAATTCCTTCAGCGGATGCTCATGATACAATTCACTTCCTATCCTATTTTTTCTGGAGAGAATGTTCTAATCTCTATGGTACAGATAGTAAATTATTAACTCAGATTACACCTACAGCCTCTGTACTTCACATGAAGAAAGGGACTTTTCTTTTATCACACCCCACCAGCTCATTGAGTGACTGGGGCTGGAATGATTGGAGGAGCAGCTCATCTTCCCTTTGTGAGAGTGAGACCTCCAAGGCCCAGCAGGTAGACAGTGAATCCCAACTGATCGGGTGGTGGAGGATGCAGATGATAATGATCTCAGCTGCTCTTGACAAAATTGAACCAGAAGTCTTGAGGCCATCAGCACCTACCTGCACTTAACTGGCCCAGCTGTAACCCAGCAGCAGGACATAAACGTAACTCACTGGTTGATTGAATGGTTAATTTGAGGCTTAAAACACTTCAAGTTCTAATTTTTCTTTGCTTTGTTGTCTGAGTAGATGGAAATCTCTGTATAACCTGACATCAGTTTAGTGTTTTATTTTTTCTGAGTCATTTTTAATAGCCATTTCTTGAGGATTCTTTATTCTTTCTTTTTTTGAAAGAACGCAGGTCACACTGTAGGGGCTTTATGTAAGAATGATGGTCCACAATAGTATTTAATATACACTGCTGTGCAAAATGCTTAGACGTTTTCCCACTGTCCTGTGCCCAATCTATTTAATTATTTATGCAGTAACACAAGTTTTTGTTTATCAGCTTAATTAATTGCTTACACTTATATAGTGCTTTTCTGGACACTCCACTCAAAACGCATTACATGTAATAGGGATCCCCTCCACCACCACCAATGTGCAGCCTCACCTGGATGATGCACTGGCAGCCATATTGTGCATAGTACTCTCACCACACACCAGCTATTAATAGGGAAGAGAACAGAGTGATGAAACCAATTCATAGATGGGAATTACTAGGAGGCCATAATGGGAAAGGGCCAATGGGAAATTTGGCCAGGACACCAGGTGACACCACTATTCTTTCCAAGAAATGCCCTGGGATTTTTAATGACCACAGAGA